AATTATATTATATTTATAATATATGATATATTATTTATTATTTATTATTTAAAATATAATATTTTTATATATAATTTTTATTATGTATTTTTATAATATACATTGTAAAAATTAAAAAACTAAAAAATCAATGAACCAAACCGACCATTAGTCGAACCAGTCAACCAATTAACCAATTGGTTTCAGTTATCGATTTTCCAAGAACTAATAGTACCAGTTTGGTTAAAAAAAAAGGCTATGAGAACCCCCTAGGTGTAAGGTAGAAGCCCTTCATCTAGCATTAGGTTTCTTGGGGTAGTGACACTTAGCCCCCTAGAACTTATGTTTGTTACAAAAAACCTTCATAAAGTGCTAGATTTTAGTACTTTTCCCTTGGATGTTAAAGATAAAATTACAAAATCGCACATAAAAAGTTTTGTATTCTTTTGGATTTGTCTTTTTGTACTTCCCTCTTTTTCTTTGCTTGCAATTTCTTTTTTTTTTTTTTGTATTTTTGTTGTTCTTTCTAATATATAGTGTTTTCTATATTATCTTGTTTTTTTCCAATGTTCACAAAATTATACCAAACATTGACACATAAATGGGGGAGGTTCACGAGTCAAAGGTTTAACTAGGGTTGAACCGTGATGACACACACACACACACAATTATACCAAGCATTAGATTCATTTTTTCTTAAAAATTAATATTTGAGGCCAAAAGGCATCTTTTTTTAGCAAAGATCACCACTATTGAACATCCGAGTGAGTAGTTATGGCCTTCATAAGTTTGCATTTATGTTTAAAAATTTTCAGAAACCCGATTAGTTTTCCAAAATCGGGACCATTTCACTAGTTTTCCAATTCAAATCGACATTTCACTTATTTCTTTTGTTTTAATTATTTTAGCAAAGTAAACAGTTATTTTACACTTTCATGTAAGGCCCAATTTACCTAGGTAATTGCAAATTACCCATGTTCTTTTATTTCTTAGGTAAGTTAAACAATGACTATTTGATAGATATAAATATATAACCCTAGCAAGTGCACTAGTTATCAAGTAGTATAAAAAATATCGTTCCCACGAGGATTTAACAAAATAAGTATTAGAACCGCAGTCTTCCCTAATTATTAGTCCACCTAACCAATGTAATGAATATTAATAGGCTCGATTAACCAAGGTTATTTGTCATTCCCATAAGCTAAGGTCTTTCCAATTTTATTTAATATTCTCTATCGAGATATATTAAAACTACATCCATCAGGTAACCCTTCGATCTCCCAAGTAGAGCTCTCAAGATGGAAATGCATTAAGTCCAAGAAAAACCATTAAATTCAGTTGAATCATGTATATAAATCTCTATATACCATTCAATTCACACTATGAATTATTCAGTCAATTATGTAAACTCCTGATTCATTCACATAACACAAATCAATTAAGAGGTGGCCAAGCTCTTAATTGCATTAAGCACAATAATTCATAGACTATATGGAAATCACAATCTTGGATAAAATATATTCATTAACATGGTTAGGCTTTCCACAGTCCTAGCAAGAAACAAATCAGTTCATGATAAAAGAATTAAAACAAACAAAGGGAAAGGAAGAACTCATGAATTCACCCAAGGTGCTAAGATCTCCTATTCTTTCCACCACCTTCTTCTTGAAGTTTCTTAAATTCTTGATCTCCTTCCCCAAGTTCTTAATTTGTTTTCTCTTTTCTTGATAGATAGCTCAGTTCAGTTCGTGATCCCCTCCAAAGATTGAGTGATGCCTCAAGCTAGTCCACCCCCCCCCCCCTTTATATAGCTTAAAGGGGAGGGGGTGGTCTCCTACTTCCTCTTGAAGTTTATCTTACAAGAATAGAAAGTCCTATTCTAATCCTACTCTTATCTTTTTATCTAATGAGGTTAATCCATTTATCTTTCTAAGATTACATCAAGAATTTAGATCTGGAATGACTCCTCTTGGTTTCTTGTTCTTGGATTCGTATTAAACATCCTCTGCGAATTGGGTTTCAGCCAGGTTTTTCTGCAAGTTGGGCTTCAACTGCGGATTGGGCCTTCATACGAATTTGTCCCAACTTCAGGCCTGGATTTAACTTCGATGCAGGCCGAATCTGCGAAAGCCCAAAACATGAAAGTTGTGGATTTTTCTCTTATCTTTCCAGTGAGTCTTGAATTAGCCCAATCGAAGTTCGGATACGCGAGTTAGGCCCAGATTACTGAATGATGTCGAAACTATGAAAAATCATCCAATTTGTCTTTCTTTACTCCTGATGCATTCTTTCATGCCCTGAACCGAAATACAAGAAATATGAGTCTAATTAAGTACTAATTCAGTATAAAAGACAAAATATTAGGGGATAAAATATGATAGATTTTATTCTCATCACTATTCCACCCATAAAGAGTCATTTACCACGGAATATATGGTTTACTGAAAAAACTAAAAATAACATGGGATTGTTGGCCAATGAGAACTAATTTCCTATTAACCAACTCCTCATCCCCTCATTACTTGAAAAAAAGATGGGGCCTAAGAGAAGCAACAAAATGCTTGCCTATTTAGGAAGGGTTGAGTTGGAGAGGGCTGAGATAAAGGTTAAGCTAAGTTGCTTTAGGATGCATTTGGCATTCCTTATTTTAATGACTTATCTCCTTTTTGCAATTAAAACGCCCTTATGTACACCAAATTTTTAACTGCAAAAGGAGAAAAGTCCTTAAAATAAGGAATGCCAAACGTAGCCTTAATTGCTTTGAAGCGCCTAGATAAGCTACTAAAAGAAGCTGAAGTGGACATCCCATAAAATGACTGATTGACAGCTAGGCAGCTGGACCTGTTCATAGGTCGGGGTCGAGCTTTGGGTTGGGACCATTCAAATTTCAGAAAATGCTCAACCCGAGTCTAGCCTATGAATGGATCTACTAATTGCCAACTTCAGCTCTTAGACTTTTCACCAAACATATCTCAGACTGTCCATGTAGGGCCTGCCTCGAAAAGCTAGAAGCCAGCAATGAGCTTTAGACCTCTTAATCGAGCACTAAAGCAGTTGCAAAGTAGAGGGATTTATGGTGTGATCGCCTACCCACACTTACCAAAAGGAAATCACAGCCGCATAGGGATGAAAACGGATTGGATTGGAATTGGGGTATTCGGATCTGACCCAATAATATAAATTGCAGATCTGATCCGATTGAATCTGACAAACATCGATCCAAATCCAAATCTGTTAAGAATTTTGGATTTCCTAACATGATCCAATCCAATTTAATTTCAGAAAAATTTCATAAATTATTAAAAGAAAAAAAAACCATCACAATTAATTTTGAATATTCAAAAACCTAAGGTGGGATATCCAAACCCAAGAAAGTAATCGAGATCCAATGCATTTGCAGCCCTACAACCGGAGACACATGCCATATGTGGGGAACATCAATCACAATTTAGAATTTACAAGTTACAACAACAGATGAAGATAGCTAGTTTATGAATTACGGTTTTTCTTGGTGGGAACTTCTTAACTTCGTGGGCCCATTTCGGCTTTCATGTGAAATCCTTGCAACTTAACCTCGATTATTCCTCCAATACATATGCTATGGGCCTGTTTGGCATGTCTTTCTGTATGGTCTTTCGGTTGTTTACAAGCAGTAAAGACCAATTTTTGGTCTATTTCCGTCTGACGCACGAAAGATCTAGTTGCAAAAAGACAACACCGAAAAAATGCGAGAAGCCCATTTTGGGCTAATTTCGGGAAGCTTGTCTTTTGCATTTTGATCTCACGCAAAAAGACGTGTATTTGCCAAACATGCTTTGAGCTGCTCAGATCTTCATATAAAAGCTCAATGCGTCTTTTGCATGTCAAATCTATCAGAAAATCTTCCCAAAAAGGCGCACCAAACGGGCCCTATTTCTTTTCTTATACTGTCATCCATCAGATAATCTAAGTAAAATCTAAAGAGATAAGAGAGTCCATGTCAGATTTCACTATTCCTCCGATACATAAGCTATTCGTTTTCTTCATACTGTCCTCACTCAGACAATCTATTTATGTAAACTCTAATCCATTTCAGATTTGACACCGTCTTTCTTTTGTTTATAAATAAGTAATATACGTTCGTTAGGGACCGTCTCACGTACGATCTTGGATCTTGGAATTGGAATTGCAAGCGGAGGAAGTCAAGACATTGATACTTCTGGAGTGAAGTACGTTCTGCAAAAAAATGGAAGACAAGAATACTTTCATTCCTGTTCCTGTTGGATACCGATTTCAGCCAACCGATGAAGAGCTGACCAATTATTTTCTCAGACTCAAAGTTCTTGGTATTGATATKCCTTCGGTCGACGTTATAGACTTTGATGTCTATCGCTGCGAACCTGAGTTTCTACCTTGTACGTTTTTTTGCTTTCTTATTGCCTTCTTTCTTTGATCACAAGTTTTTCTTGCTTTCTTGCTGCCTTCTTTTTTGATCACTACGTGTTTCTGATTTCTTTTTTCTACGTCGTTGTACTAAGATTAGACCGATTCTTGAATAACAGATCATCATCTTATGTCGGGACCCATATGCGTAGATGATTTAATTTATCTATTCATATATATGTATTTTCTACATGAACTACGTAGCAGATGAATAGCAATAATACATACAAATATTTGAATCTATCTATAGTTGTTGGTTTTTTTTTTCGTGTTTTAATTTAACAGTTAACACCCATATGCATATGCATACATCATCTAGGTCTTTAATTTTACTTTTTTTTTTCGCACCCATATGCATATTAGGATCTGTTTGGCACAGGAATCAGAATTGGAATGGTCTACTATACCGTTTGGTTCATGTTAGAATTGGAATTGGAATCGGATTCGAAATTGGCTGAGATGGATTCTCATTACTTAAGGGAGGGGAAGGGAATGGCCATTCAGAATGGGAATGGGATTCCAATTCCGTCCAACCAACCAATTGGACCCTTAATCTTTTTTCATCTATGTTTTTGTTTTTTATAGGTAAAAAAACTATATTAACAGAGACAAAGAGAATCTATACAATGAGGCGGGCTGTCCAAAATAACTACACTATACCTGAATTCTTCATTAGAGAAACTATTGAATCGGTAGCCCCATTAAAGGACCTAGGCAAAAAAACTAAACATTTACGAAAGTAGCAGTAAAAGATTTAATAGTATCCACTCAATAAGAGGCCTCCCATGGTAAAGGAGAATAACCAAAGTCCAAAATACCAACCACTGATTTGGCATCTGAAAATATTAGCAACGTTCCAGCCTCGCTCCCTTTCGAAAGACTACCACAACCAAACAGCAAAAAGCTCTGCTGCAATTCATTCTACCTCCTGCAGCAAATAAAAAATTCTTTGTTAGAATTATACGTACAAATACCCAAGGTTTCCCAATATGCCCCTACAGGGGGTGTGTCGGGTCAGACCATGGTTCAGAGGGTAGCCAGGCCTTAAACTGACCCCTCTGAACCAAATTACCCCTCCATCACTGGTGCAATTAACACCAAAAGAGCTAATAGAGAATAAAATTGACGGAGGCATAGGTCTAGTGAAAATTGGTTCAGGAGGGGAGTCCATCTGTTGAGGATGTGAGAGACCTAATTCAGAGCACAAATTACTTATTGTTTTTTTTTCACCACTCACTTGAGAAAATGAGCAAGATTATTAAAAATTATATTATTCCGAGCCTTCCAAATGAGAGTAAACGACGGCCAACCTACTCAACATACAATTAGCCAACTCCTCTGAATGGCATTGACATAAAATAAAATGCAGAAATTCATTGACACGACCAAAATGAGACCACATAATTCTCAGACCGCAGAAAGAAGCAAACAAAACAGCTTTCAAAAATGAACAATGCACAAAAAGCTATAGAACATCTTCTCCTTCCATACTACAGAAAGAACACACATTCTCCACCTGCATACCATTTCTGGTCAGAATGGACTTAGTGGGAATAAATCCTCTAATTATTCTCCACAAAAAGAGTTTGCATTTTGGAGGTATTTTGAGTTTCCAAGCCTTCTGAATTAGCCTTTTCTGATTTTCTTCCATTACCACATTTGAGTCCTGCCAAAGATAGTCATGAAAGAGTTTGATAGAAAATTTACCACTAGGAGCTCCTAACCACAGAAAAATTTCCCTATCCAGAGTTCTAAAGACATGGGTTTCTAAAATGAATTGAATTTCTTCATAAGAAAGCAGCAGATTTAGCTTTGTCACATCCCAATCCCCATTCTCCATGATCAACTCTTTCACAGTTAGAGCTTGATCCCCCTCTAGCCGGTGAACCTATTGGACAATTTCACATGTTAATTTCAGCATTCCTGCAAATTTGAACCCATAATTTTGGCAAAAAATACCAAATTGCTTTACAAATTGTTTTCCAGATTAGAGAAGCTTCCCTCAAAAATCTGTAAGGGATTAGCTCATGATTTTTAAAATATCTACACTTTAGGAGCTTGACCCACAAGGCAAGCTCATGTTTCTTATCTACAATTCTACCTTGTTGATTTATTGCTGTTCTAATTAATTTATGCATTTACAGTGGTTACTACATATGGTGGTTTGATAAAGGAAAGGTATTACTTCGTCCCAAGAGAGAAGAAATCACAAAATGCATCAAGACCAAATCGTGTGGTAACTCACCCTGTTAAGGAAGGAGGTTGGTGGAAGGCTACACAAGGCAATAAAAGGATTTTTGATGCAGAAAGGAGGATCGTGGGATACAAGAAGAGTCTTGTATTCTA